CTCCCCGATACAGGCTCCCAACCACCCGCCCCCCCAGCCCCCTACGCAGTCCGTAACACCACCTCCGCAGACCAAGGCTGGTAGTTTTGGACCCTCCCCGCCTGGCCCAGAGGGTGGGTCAGAGCCACTGTCGCCCACCCCTCCGCATACCCCTACCCCGCCTGACACGCCCCCCCTGGAGAAGCACAGCACCACCTGCCCATCCGCCCAGCCTTCGGCCCAGGACATTCCACCGGCTCAGTCGCCTCCTCCGTCTGGCACGCTACCGAGGCCGCGACCAGTGCCCAGACCTCGCAACCGTCCCACGGTGCCCCCTCCGCCTCACCCTCCTGCTCCTCATCTGTCTGCAAATGGCTCTCTGCTGGGTCCTCCGGCAACGGCGTCCCATATTGTGACTGGTAAGAACACTTTCGGCTCCACAGGCATGTCTTTGAGCCCGGCTTTGATGGAGGAATGCTCTTTCCCAGCGGGGACGGCCAAAGGAAGCCCCACCCTACCCCACCCCACCCCAAAGCAAGCTAGCTACGGCTGTCAGCCAGCCCTCCATGGGGGAGTTGCAGGGCCCAGTTTCTGTCCCTTGAGATTAGCGAAGTCTATGGACGAGATGATAAAGGCAGATTAACTGGATTCATAGTAGCAGCTAGTCTAGGTAGGAGCATAGCACATCGTTTCAGAGAAGAAATAGTGGACATTTTGGAGTAAATGTGGAATACGTGAGCCCATTTCAATATTCACGTCAAGGTTTTGGCTTCCTCCAACTGAACAACAAAGGCATTCTCAAGAGTCGGATGTCAGCAATCCTAATTTTGTGTTCTGGGCTTTTGCATATCATCCTTTGCTAGTCCCCATTCCTTCCCACCAATGGTAGCAGTGCAGCCTTCCCTCTGATTTTCCTCTGCCATCAAAATTATTTTCCTTCACACTGAAGAACATTCCAAGATGTCAGGTTTCCTTCCTGTGTTGTTATAGCAGCACAGCCAATGAGCCTAAATCAGGAAAGGCAGGTTTTAGCCATTTTGCTCTGTGGTTCCTTCTTTCCTTGCTGCCCAGACGGGGTGCTGGTAGCCTTTTCACGCAGGCTGCATTCAGGAACATTGAGAAAATCTCAGCGCTATTGTTCGTTAGATGATGGGAAGAATGGCTGAATTTTATCATACTCAGATTGTAGATGGCAGACAGGGGGAATAGCCATTTATTCTTTGATTTAAGCCCTGTCCCTTGCTAGCTAACAAAGTAATTTCCCTGTTGGTGCAGTGCATACATGACTCATTTACTGCAGATCGCATCAATATTTACAAGCTCTTTTTATTTCTTAATCTGGATTGGGCGCTTTTTAATAACGCTTAATGTTAATTTTAAGCAGCATATTAGGACAAAGTCTTGACTTCTGGCAGAATGAAATAGCGCATGCCCATCTCTTAATTTTAGCAGACTCTAACATATTGATCCACAGAACCCTTGCAGACTTGTAATGGCTACTGGAACAAAACAAGTTTCAGCTGCCAAAATAACCCTTTGAATCTTTAGGTTGTAATATATCTACAAATAATATTCTAATTGAGAATTTTATTAAATAATCTAGATGTTTGAGCTGCCTTATTCAATAGGAACTGAAATTGGAAATGGTAAGAGGAAATTGAGGCCTTCCGATTGGCCGGATATGTTGCAAATGTTGCATAATCATGGATGCTGCTTTTGTTTCTTACTAACTGGTCACCGTAACCTGGCTTGCTTGCACCTGGACTAATCCTGCATGTGAAAGGAGTGATGCTTTTCTTGTCCATTGTTTGTAATATTGATCTCCATTTTAATGCATTCTGGTCTACTGCCCCTCCCTGATCCATATTTGTCAACCTTTCATCAGCAGACCATGGAATGAATTTCTGCTTTTCAAAATCTTCAGAGCTTCATAGTATGTCCAGATAGAAGTAAAAGGTGCACACACAGAGACACATGTAAACTGCTCTTCCCTCCACCCTTGTGCTGACGAATTTGCAGTCTGAGTTCTCCCAGAGAGCTAAGTGCAACCTTGCAGGTCCTTGCCAGTCCTGGCACTGGTTGCTGTTCCCTTATAGTGTGAGCAAGGCTCCTCCACTGCTGCACGGGGCTTAAACATTCAGAGTAAGAAGAATCTGAGCGAAAGGCCTCTTGTATGGATTGGAAGCTCAGGTGAATTATGTATTCTTAATAAAATACAACTTGGTGCGATCTTGGAATAAGTAGACATTGCCCCAAGCAAGTTGGTGTGCATTCTTTTGCCCTAGTTGCAGTATTGCTGCCCTAGAGCTCTGGCAATAGTGACATCTAATTTTTTATGTGTAGAGAGACTCAGCTCCAAATATTGCCTAATTTGCTGGAGGTGACCTTGACTTAAAAAGAAGATACAGCAGACAAAGCATCTTTCTGGTGAAGAGCAGATTGGAGCCTTTATCGTTCCTCACCTACAGACAGAAATCTTGCCAAACTAAAGCAGCTACTTGCATCATGTAAGATCTACTGGAGAACATCTAGGGAGGAGTTGCCTTGACCCTCTTCCTCCCAACCAGACTATCTAAACCTAGTCCCTGTCTCTTGATCCTCTGGCCTGCAGCCTCTCCCTCCTTGGAATCCAGACAACATTCCACCGTACCCACAGAGGCTGAAAAGCAGGCAATCCGGTCGATCCCCTGCTCTGCCTCATATGCCCCATTGTGTGTTAGCAGCAACCCTCATCCAACCCTATGGAAGTTTGAGATCATTAAAGCTCTTCCATGAGAGCCAAGTGAGGGCCCGTCCAGTGCCCATCTAAACTTTGCATGGGTGATTGTCAGACAGGAGCAGAACTTAGTATGCAGAGCCATGACTGGATTTGCATCTCTGATGGTGAGGAAATGTACAAGAGCAGCTGCAACTCCATTTTGCAGTCATTCTGCATTGAAAGGGAAAGGATACCTTTGACCCATCACACCAGGGCTGCATATCTGTGGAAATGAAGTCCCACCTGCATGTCAGATGTCTTTTCACCTTTTCATTGAGGGGGAGGGGAGAAGGGGTGGTTGCCAATGTAGAAACAGCCTAGCTCACATGTGCTCATGTTTCTTGGATTTTGAAATGGGGAAGAGAGCTAGGTAGCCATGACAGGCAAGTCCCACCCTCCTAAATTGTTACAACATAATTGTTAGTGCTACTGGGTTCCCTGCCCACTTCCAGTTCCCATAGAGTTCTACTCTTTGCAGGTCCACTAAAGCCCCAGGCCCAACCAGTTTTGCCCAGAATGTGGCAAATTTAGACAAATGAACAAAATTATATTTTCATTGACCTGTTTCTTCAAACTATGCTTCCCTACTGAAGCAATTTGTGCTTTTCCAGAATTACCTAAGTTTATACTAGCTGGGTCCTGACAATTGGACTTCCAGCTCGTGTCATATCAGTTTCCCTGAATGACATGAAGAAACTTTGGCTGTCTGAGAATAAAGTTCTCTGTTTTTCAGGAGCTATGCTGCTCAAATTTGAAATTTTAAGATGAAGGCATATCCTGTCACCTCTGAGAAGGTCAGGCTCCTTCCACAACAAAGTTACTAGCCATTATGGCTCACACGATAAACTTGAATAAAGTATGTTGTTAGGGGATTCTGAAGTCAGACGCTGAATTGTAATTCCTGCTCTCCTTTGAATTCAGACATTTTAGCATAGTATTGGCAACAGAGGGGGAGTCTTGTGGATCAGCAGCCAGCCCTGAGTTTATCTTTCAGCATTTGTACTATGTGTGTTTGATGTCTTTTCTGCAGATACCAGTTCCGAAGTTAAAGAGCAATCACGGGGCATCCCTGGCGTGGAACTTCCTGCCACAGAATTGGTGACTTCGCCGAATCAGAATTCACACAACCACCTTGTGCTTGATCTCGATCATGATACTGAAAGCACTGCTTTGTAAAAAAGAATAAAATCACTCCAAAGCAGCCTTTTCTATCCCAATGAAAATCTAACCAGTCCAGGATTCAGTGAGGAGCTTTAAAACAAAGAAGAAGACAAAGTAGGAATGGTACCACTGCCTGCCTCATGTCTTCTGAGAAGACATGTGATCTTTAAAAGGAGAGTTTAATGACCTGTATCCTGACAAAGCTGCCTAAGCTAACATTGGGTGTTCTGGCTGTTGCTAAACCTTATATGAGAAGCTTGATTGCTGCTGTTAACCAAGATGGCCCTTGCCGGAAAATTCCAAGAAGAATCCAAAGCAATGCATGTGTAATAGAAATCATAACCCTTTAAAGACCTCTGTTGAGCTCTTATTCTTTGTCCGTATCAAAGAGAGGCATGCAAGAGACATGCTATCTCTGATATGCTGCAGACTTCATTAAAAGTATGAACCAAAAAATTGCTACAGGTGCAGAAGATGACTGCTGGTTATCGGTCACTTTTCTAAACGGTGGATGTATTCTTGTGCCTTGATGGACTTGATACTGTAGAAGGAAATGTACTGTCTCTCTAACTATTTCAGTGCTATTCTTTTTTAAAATACGATTCTTTACCCCTTTATTTTTCATAGATATTTGTATTAACCCTTCTACTCTGGTTTCTGTAACTTCCATAGGCAGCTGCTGTCAAGCTGAACTCTGGAAAATGTGTATTGCTATAAATGAGTTGAACTTTGAAAGTTATTTTGGATATCTTGTTGGGTTCATCTGCCGAGTAAAATTATTCTCTTTTTTGTCACTGCAAAACCAATTTATTGTAATTTTCCTACCCAAAGAGCTGTATTTTTTCCCCTAATCCACCAGTGAATTAAATTGCTTGGGAAGTGAAGCAGAGTCACCCCAGAAAGAAAAAGGGAATAGTTTGGCAAGAACCTGGAAGATGCTAGGATGTATAGACAACCCACCGATAAGCATTTGTCCCTAATTTCTCCCCTCCCCAACTACTTTTAGTCACAAGGAGTCAAGACGCAAAGAATGAGAAGTTCCAACAACTAGAGAGTCACTAATTCCTCGACCCTGGTTTGAAAGAACACCAGCACACCACTCTCAAGTCTTCCTGACAACTTTATTACTTGCTTTGTCTTTCTTCTGCATGGGTGAAGAGATGGACATTAAAGTTCTCAGGCCAACTCCATCCTAGGGCTTTGGGATTTGTAAACACATCTTTAGACATATTGGTAGGTACTTGTCCATAGGGTTTCATGTAGACATATGAGTAGGAGTAGGCCATACAGTTTCTAGGGAGGAGGGAGGGAAGTGGAAGGAAAAGGAAACATTATTTTTCCAATGCTTTTACAAGCAATAACCAGAAGAGCACCTGTATTTTCTTCGGTGCACCCACGTTGTGTGTGTGTGTATGTGCAGTCTCTCCCCAGGGACTAATCAGAGTGCATACATGTTGCCTTTGTGTCTCAGGTTGGCTAAAGTGTGTCTCGTATGTGTGCGCGTGAACACTCTCTGTAGGAGTGTGCCGAATGTGACCAGGAGGCTGAGAGTAGAGCCTCTCCAAGCTTCCCAGTCCTTGCCCAAAGCCATGGATTTTTTCCCATAATCCCCAGGAGCCTGCCTATTACAGTCATAAATCATGACGGTTGTGACCGTCCTTTTTGTGGCAGCTATTACACAAATCCATTGTTCCCTGGGGGGCATTTGTGCCAAAACCCAGAAATGAATGCCTGTTTTCAGCAAAAACATAAATTGCAGTTATGTATCTGTGGGACATTGGGGATGGCCATAAATGCAAGCCGGTTGCTGAGTGCCCAAAATTCGGCCATATGACTGAGGGAAGAAGGTTGGATGTCGAAACTTTGGAACCAGGTCACAAGGATTTTTTGGGAGGCCCATCCTAGCTTTGAACGATCGCTCAGCGACTGGTCCTAAGGCAAGGACTACCAGTATCACGCACAAAGCTTTTTGCAACACAGTTGGGCTAAAGCATTCTTAATTACAGGTCATCGTCAAGGTAAGACTCATGATATCTGTTAAACTGCATGGTGAAGTCCTGGAAGTGGCCGCTATTTTGTCCTAGCCACAAAATGCAGCTGTGTTTGGGTCACCGCTGTGCAGCCAGGGACAAGACTGCTTCGTTTCGCTGCCTTTACAAAGTTTGCACAACGCTTGTTCAGAAGCGTTGTGCACTGCTGCACTGCTGTGGAGACGTTAAGGCAGCAAAGGAATCAGCTTCTCTGGCAGCTGCCATTTTGTCCCCGCCCACAAGCAGGCAGCACAAAATGGCTGCCAGGTTCAGGCCTCCTCTGCGCGGCCCAGGGATGTTGTGGGCTGCCCTCATTCCATGACATCAGGTCTGGAGAGCTTCAGAAGGTGAATGTGGGGAAGAGAGCCAAGCACTGTGGGGGTGGGATAGGGTGGGGGAGAGAAGCCCTGCAGCATCCCTGTAGCTCTGCTGGCTGGGGAATTCTGGGAATTGAAGTCCACACACCGTCCAGCGGCCAAGGTTGAGAAACTGCTGTAGCTGGTCATGAGGGAACAATTCCAGAAATGGCCGCCATTTTGTCCCGCCCTCCTTCCCCAACAAGTGAAGTGTGGGGCGTGATTGGCATGTGTGGAGGAGGCCCAAGTGGGGTGGGGCTGCTGCAGGGATCTGTGGTGGGTCATAAAGCTGAATGACCTTAGGGCCCCTGCAGCCATCCTAGTTTGAAATGGCCCTATGTAATTTGGGGGCATCTCTTGTAACTGTGGTACCTCAAGGACTACCAGTACTCTTGTTAACAAATTCAACAAGTTCCTTTCTTATGCCGTGATCTTTGCATCAAACATTTTCTTTGGGGGCTCCCTGTTCTCTATCCACCAACCTGCTTTTAACCGAAAGGTGTTAAAAACAAGATGGGGCAGAGACGGAAGGATACGTTAAATATATTACCAAGGTCATCTAATTGTGCTGAAAGTAGAGGTCTGCAAACTTGGCACCTTTAAGGCTTATAGACTTCAACTCCCAGAATTCCTCACCCAGGATGGGTTTTCTTAATGGCTGGCTAAGGAATTCTGGGAGTTGAAGTCCACTAGCCTTAAAGTTACCTAATTTGTAGACCCTTGCACTAAAGCTTCAAAGCACCAGCTTTCCAAGCATAAACTACTATGTCTGTCTACGGTTTGTTTACAGCCGTCTTTAGTTTCAAGTAGAACCTACAGCTTTCTAGCAAAATGGTGACTTGCTTCCCGTTGACCAGGGGCTGCCTTGGAGCCTGGCCGAGGAGGGAGACTTTCCTTTTGGGCTGTGGATTGTCTGGTCAGCCTTGGGGGCTCCTCTCGGGGCAAAAGAGGTACCTGAATCCATTTGTGGCTGCAAAGGATTGTTGTACATCTTCAGAAATTCCGCCGGGCTCAAACATTCTTGGCTCCTGCACAAATACTGGATCGTTTCTGCTGGGATCAGCAGCTCTGGCACAGCAGTGTGGAGGCACTCGCCCAGGCCTTTGTTGCCCACCTGGAGAGGAGAAAGGAAGCACAGCGGATTTAATCCCGTGGCATTTGCTCTGGAATTAGTGTATATATTAATTTGGCCAGGCTTTTCTGCTTTAACCACTGCTGCTCAGACAACCGACCTTCTAAAGCTTGGCCTAAAATAAACTTGAAGAATAGGAACTGGGAGCTGAAAGGAAGCTCCCAATTTGGATTGTGCAGAATTGATTTAAGCTGAGTCATCAATATGTTTTTGGGTATCTATTTTTTAAAATAATCCTGCCTGTAAACAAAACACAAGAGAAACCAGATTCTGTATCTCCATGATCAGGATACTGCTCTTTCAAAAAAATAAAGAGTTTTTTATTAAAATTATGTTCACATAAATCACATTAATGCATCAGAACCCCAAAGAACTATTGCAAGTAAGAAACTAAAAACAGAGTCCCCATCATGCCCTTGGCACTATCTCAAATTCTTCCCTACATGTTGGCATTGTTAATTTAGGATATGTCAAAACTGGAACAGTGCAAGCCCCTAACTAGATATAAGAATGAAATGCCACATTTCTTGATCTATCAGGATTTGGTGTACTTATGCTATCTGAAGACATCTCAAGAGTCTTGGGCAAAAAGCTGGAGAGAACTTCTGGCTATAGAAATGTACATTTCTACCAACTTTGCCCCAAATAAAGGAGATCACTGTTGGACTGTATTACCCTTATGTGCAGCCAAGTCTATTTTGGATCAGGTGCTGGTCCTGGGGAAATGAACCTGATGCCAGGGAGAGAACTACTGAAGGGATCTGCTCTCACCTTGAGTGTTGCAAGATACACTCCCATCTTGAGAATAAGTGTAAGACACTCAGTAATAACTTCTTCTGTGGTCTGGCTCTGGGTAACATCTTCCAAAGTTACAGGCACTTCCACTTTGGTGGCATTCCACTGTGAGAAAAGTCTGGTGGGGATGTTATGAGACATTACCAATATCTTAATATCTCGTAATAAAGCCCTAAAAGGGAGAAAGAAAAACCGTATTAAACCATAGGTCTGCACACACATTATGCAGAACACTTGTATCTGTGTTCTATCAAAATCAAGATATTTAAGGCTTGCAGCTACCTACCAATGAGGAATCACATCAGAGGCACTGGCTACATTGCCCATGAACATGGGAGGTTGCCTCCCTTCCAAGTATTTATATAACGCTTCCTGTTCTAAAACTCCTGAGGTGGTTTACAATAATTATGAAAACATAAGGTAAAAACAGGATAAAAACTAAGTGGAAACAATCCACAATAAGCTTCTAGGAAAGACAGTATAAAAATAGAACTTTTTCAGAGAACCTAACAACCAGTTCCTTGGTCTGGTTCCTTCCAGTGATGACTGAAACTCCTGTCTCTTCCAGGTTTGATGCAGGATGTTTTTATTCCAACTGAATGTTGAACCTTTAGTAGGTTGTCATATTAGCCATCCAGATCAAGAGAGAAATCTAGACATTTCTCTACTCAGAAATCCTTGCCCTATGAATCAGACCAAGCCCGCTCCTGATCCAATCACAGGTCTTCTGGAGCTCATAACCTTCTTCTCTTGGCTGAACATCCTAGGTGTGCTTTCACCTGTGTCTGAAAATAGGGTTGAGGAATCTGATGCCCTCCAGAAGTTGCTAAATGCAAGAAGTTGCCCATCCAAGACACTCAAGGAGACACTCAAATTGCCCAGGAACTATAAACTGTAAGCCTAGAAACTGTAAATTGGTGACCTTTGATTGGATACCAACTCCCCATCCCTTAGTTAAATTGACATTTTCTCCATTGTAGGGTCTTTGCTGCTCTTTGGTTGTTTTCTTGCAGACATTTCATTACCAAACTAGATAACATCCTCAGTGCTACCATAGTAGGGATTCTTCCCTATCTTATTTGCACACCCAAATGCTGGGAGGGATGGAAGGCTTTTCTTCCCATTGGTGCTACTGGGCGTTCTGCTTTCTGTTGCTTCTTCTCTTAGTTTAGGTTTTTTGGGGGGTGGGGGTGGGGGTGGGGCTTTGCTTTTACCTGTTTTAAAGCCATCAACCATCTGTGAGTACTGGTGAAGAGATTATGGGATGCTCTGTTTATCAGTTTGTACCTTGCATTTAACTTACCATAAATGCATTTTTAAACTTTTCACCTTGTAATGTTTTAATAATAAAAACACAGGTAAAATATATAAATACAGGGTCATTAGGTGCAGTTTTTCAGCCAAGGGCATCATCCCTTTCCAACCCAACTGTGCAGAGAGACTTGGGTATCTTCCAGAAGTCCCTCTGTCTCGTGGCTGAGATGCCCCCTCTGCCACCTCACAGCTCTCCTCTCTGGAGGACTTGTTTGACTTACGCTGCTCCCTGATCTTCAAAGTGGGTCAGGTCCATGAGGATGTGGTAGAGGGTGCCGCTGGAGGCCTGAGGGGAATAGAAGAGCATCAGGATACGAGGTTCTGAAGTGTGTTTCCACTCAATTCTGTTATTCTGTATTGGAAGTGATGTTTTGACAAACTTCTGGTGGGGAGTTTTCATAATTCTGCAAGTGACCAAACTACATTGTGCCTGTAATACTATCAGTATGAATAATTACGGATTGGTGCTTAAATTGGATGTAGGTTTTGTCAGCATTTGTTATAAATCCCTACACAATTCAACTAAAGGATTTTTCATTTTCTTCTTAAATATTTGCTTGACCTACCTCTACAATGTGGAGTATGCTCTGGGAGTAGATGAGAAGGACCCCTGAGGCTGCTTCCCCCAAATGGAATCGTGAAATCTTCTGGAAAAGCTGTTCGTGATAGTCTTTAAAAAGGAAGCAGGAAAGATCAATAGAGAGATCAGCTCAGAATGCCCCCAAAAAGCAGATGGAGTGGGAGGAAGGGTAGGAGCCCAGTGCCTGCTGGACGGGGCTTGTTCCCATCTTTCTCACTGGTGTCAGCAGGACTTGCTTTATCTGCCTATAGGCTGTGGAGGAGACAGAGTGTCATGCCTGATGATTCAGAGATACACCATCATACTAATGGATTAACCTGTCTCAGAAAACAATTTCACAATTGAACATGTGATGCAAAAGGCCAGTTATGAATTAGGTTAGCTTTCCAGGGACTGCTGAACTAGAATAGCAATGCTGGCAGTGGTTTCTGGGCATTGTGATTAGGCAATTACTGGAGGGCCACAAATTCCCCACCTCTGCATTTGAACAAATAGATGTGACAAACATTAAGTATTGGTTAATGTGATAAATCTGCACTAGAAGCCACCTGTAGAGAATAGAGAGGACAGAGGGAAGAGGGAAGAGCCACCAGTAAGGCAAAGATGAGATACCGGTAAATGAGGCTTGAGCCCAGGCCAAAAAGGGGATTATAAAATGCTTTGAACAGCTGCCCCCTCCAATTCTCATGAAGATAAAAGAGAGGAAGGAAAGTCCAATCAGACTTGCAAGGCGCCATTACTGCAGTTGGTCTGATACAAGTAGTTTTAGGTCTACATGGTGTCTGTTTCTTAGTCTGGTCTATATGATAGGGCTGGATTCAAAATTGAGGTTATTACCAGCATTGTCTTCACAGTGACAAACATACAGAGAGTGAGAGTGAGAGTGAGAGGCAGACCTCCCTTCAGCCAAACAGACTGGGAAGCTTCAGAGAGCTATGGAAGAAGACCATCCCAGGGCAAGCAAAGACTTCAATAAGACCTTGGAACCTTTTCCTCATTGAGAGCATCCAGGGACTTCATGGCCTTTAACAAGGAAAGTCAGTCTTTCGAAGGTCGTGGTGAGACTGACTGCAATACCTGTGATTTCATCCTCACTGGCATTTTCTTGCAGCATCGCAACAAAGATCAGCCGGTGAAGCAGAAATTTCTGTGGAGAAAAAAGCACCAGAAGATTTAGCCTTCACACTTTAGGGCTTGGTTTTTCCCACTATTTGAAGCTCTGTCAACAGTGCAATGTTGCAGAAATAATCCGTCACTTATCTTTATAAATATTTTGGTATGTCTCCCCAAAACCCATCAAAATACAGGATACAGAAAAACCAAAGCAAAACTCTAGAAAGAAAGCTGGGTGCTCAAAAGGGAAAACAACCAGTTTAGGAGGCAGAGTCTGGAGATTCAGCCCTCTGACCTCAGCACACTGAACCACCAAGGAAGCAGTTGGATTTTATGGCAATTTGTAGTGAGTTCATAGTTCCGTGTGTCATGCAAATACAAGCAAATGGCAGACATGTCTAAATAGGAGAGGGCCAAACAAGTCAAGATGGTGGTTGCTACCACATGGATGAAGCCCCAAGAGGTGGCAGCCATCATCTTGGTGTTTTTTTTTTTCATGCCATGCAGATGTTCCTGCACACTGGAATAGGTGGCTGTGCCCTGATTAACCTGAGTCAAACTCAGCCAGTGGCTGAATCCAGACATAATGCCAGGCCACAAACCATGCTCTATACATATAGTTTTACATGCTCTAAGACTTGTGGACTTACAGCTGCTGGCTGGGGAATTCTGGGAGTTGAAGTCCACAAGTCTTAAATTTGCCAAGTTTGGAGATCCGTGCTCTAACACCTTATAACTTGAGCCTTGAGACCAGACCAGAGATGCTCAGGAAACATTGCAGCCCCCTTTGTCTTCTTCCCTTGCGCAGAAGCAGCCGGATGCATCTGTGTTTTGGGCCAGAACAGGGAAAATGAAAAGGAACAAATGGCCTTTCTGAGGGCCACTGACCAGCAGAAAAGGACCCCTGGAAATCTCCAGAGAGAGAGAAAAATCGTCTGAAGCCGAGGAGGTCAGAAACCTTCAAGGTGAGAGTAGGTAGCCAGGGGAAACTTGACTTCCGGACACATCCAGGCATGGCCTTCCTCCAGGATTGTTTCTCCAGTCTAGCCAACAGTCTTGGGATCTCCAAGTGGTCTCCCATCCACAGACTCGGTGGGGCAACCCTCTCAGCCAATATATGACCAATTGGGCCAGCTGCAGAGAACCCTACTGGCTAGGTTTTGACAGCCCACCAAGCGGTGGGATTCGATAAGTGCAGCTTACTGACTTGGCCAGGTTTAGGCAAGATGCCAAATCGAAACCCACCGATCCTCTGAGGCTGTAATGTCAGGGCCCAGAAGGACTGCCACATCTGGAAAAAGAGCCCCACCCCCACCCCAGGACCACTGGCCTCCTCATACCTTCATCTGCTGCCGCCGCCTCTCCTCCAGAGCACTAAGCAGGGTGTTTCTGGCCACTGTGGGCATCACGTCGGCCATCCTGCTGTGGCAGACTGTTCCAGAACCTTCAAGGAACCAATCTGCCAGCCTGGCATGGCAGTTACCCTCTATGCACCTCGTTGGAATTGGCAGTTGGGAGCCTCTGGCTCACCTAGCTCACCTGAGCGGCCTGGAGTTCTGACCAGGAGGAAGATGGGAGGCCTGGGAGACCATCGCCCAGCACTCCAGAGGGGCTTCTCCTGTGGAGGGTCTAGGCTTGTGGGCTGCTTGGGAGAGAGGCCTTGCCCAGGGCTGAGCCGCTCTTCAGGTCAGAAAGGGGTTCCAGAGCCGCCGCCCCCCCAAATCTCCTGCCTTGCAATCTCAATCCTTTGTTTCCTGCCTTCTGGAAGAGACAAAGAATTTTCTCTTCCAGAAAAAGTCACAACAGACCTTTAGATACTTTTATTTATTATTTATTTATTTATTTTTCATATTTGTATACCGCCCTACTCCCGAAGGACTCAGGGCAGTGAACAGTCATAAATAAATACAAAGACATATAAAAGTTAAAAACTATTAAAAAAACATATTAAATAATTTAGGCTCAAAAAATTAAAACCAAAACATCCAAATTTATCTAAAAGAGATCTAAAACCCGATTTAAAAGCCAATTTAAAAGCCAATTTAAAAGGGAGAGTTAGGCCAGACCAGCTTGTTGGAATAGAAACGTTTTCAGGGCACGGCGGAAGATGCGTAAGTATTGGATCCTTCGTAACTCCGGGGGGAGCCCGTTCCAGATGGCAGGTGCCCCCACAGAGAAGGCTCTCCCCCTGGGGGCCGCCAGTCGACATTGTTTGGCCGACGGTACCCCGAGGAGCCCCTCTCTATGGGAGCGAACTGGTCGGTGAGAGGCTATTGGTGGCAGGAGGCGGTCTCGTAAGTACTCTGGTCCTGAGCCATGGAGCGCTCTAAAGATAGTAACCAAAACCTTGAAGCGCACCTGGAAGACCACCGGGAGCCAGTGTAGCTCGCGCAGGAGGGGGGTCACATGAGAGCGCCACATTGCTCCCATCACCACCCGCGCGGCCGCATTCTGGACCAGTTGGAGCCTCCGGGTGCTTCTCAAGGGGAGCCCCATGTAGAGAGCATTACAATAATCCAGGCGTGAGGTGACAAGGGCGTGAGTGACCGTGCGTAACGAGTCCCGATCCAGAAAGGGACGCAACTGGCGGATCAGGCGAACCTGATAAAAAGTCCTCCTGGCCACGGCCGTCATATGCTCTTCTAAAGACAGCCGCGAGTCCAGGAAGACGCCCAAGTTGCGAACCCCATCTGTGGGGGCCAACGACTCGCCCCCAATAGTCAGAGATGGCGCCAACTGACTATATCGGGACGACGGAAACCACAGCCACTCGGTCTTGGATGGGTTGAGTCTGAGTTTGTTCCTCCCCATCCAGATCCGTATGGCCTCCAGGCATCGGGACATCACCTCGAGGGCATAATTGGGGTGGTCTGGGGTGGAGATGTACAGCTGGGTGTCATCAGCGTACTGATGGAACTTCACCCCAAAACCACGGATGATCTCACCCAGCGGCTTCACATAAATGTTGAATAGAAGGGGCAAGAGGACCGATCCTTGCGGCACCCCACATATAAGGGGCCTCGGGGTCGACCTCTGCCCCCCTGTCAACACAGACTGCGACCGGTCAGAGAGAAAGGAGGAGAACCACTGTAAAACAGTGCCCCCCACCCCCAACCCTTCCAACTGGTGCAGCATGATATCATGATCGATGGTATCAAAAGCCGCTGAGAGGTCTAATAGGACCAGGACAGAGGAGCAACCCCTGTCCGGAGCCCTCCAGAGATCATCAATCAATGCGACCAATGCTGTCTCTGCGCTGTATCCGGGCCTGAAGCCCGACTGGAACGGATCTAGATAATTCGATTCATCCAGGTACTGAGGCAGTTGTCGTGCAACCACACTCTCGTCTGGAGACAGGACGATAATTTGCTAACACAGCTGGGTCCAGGGAGGGCTTCTTGAGGAGGGGCCTCACCACCGCCTCTTTCAAGACAGTGGGAAAGACACCCTCACTCAAAGAAGCATTTATAATCTCCTGGAGCCAGCCTCGCATCACCTCCCGGGAGGCCAGTACCAACCAGGAGGGACACGGGTCCAATAAACATGTGGTCGCATTTAGTCTGTTCAGTATCCTGTCCACGCTTTCGGGAGTCACAGGATCAAACTCTTCCCAAATAATATTCTCAGGACCTGCCCTTGTCATCTCCCCTGGATCAATCCAGTCAGAGTCTAGCTGTTCCCGAATCTGAGCGATTTTGTCATACAGATATTGTACAAAATCCTCAGCTCTACCCTCTAAGGGGTCTTCCCGCATCCCTTGATGGAGCAGGGAGCGGGTCACCCTAAACAGGGCGGCTGGGCGATTATCTGATGACGCAATAAGAGCAGAAAAGTAGTTACTCTTTTCTACTCTTATCGCCACTAGGTAATTCTTAATATGAGATCTTACCAGTGTCCGGTCGGATTCAGAATGACTAGCCCTCCAACTGCTCTCTAGGCGTCTTTTCCGGCGCTTCATCTCCCTCAGCTCCTCAGTATACCAAGGAGCCAGGTGAGACTGGCGCTGGGTCAGAGGCCGCAAAGGCACGACTCGGTCTAAAGCCCCAGCCGCCACCCTATCCCAGGTGGCCACTAAGTCCTCAGCCGAGTCGTGTGCCAGAACCTCAGGAAATGGCCCAAGCTCCATCTGGAATCTCTCAGGATCCATCAGGCGCCTGGGGCGGAACCACCTGGTCAGTTCTGCCTCCCTGCGGCGGGGTGTGGCGGTTCAGAGGTCAAGGCGAAAGAGGGAGTGATCTGACCATGACAAGGGTTCAATCGCTATATCCCCTATCTCAAGATCACTCAACCACTGTCCAGAGACAAAAACCAGGTCCAGTGTGTGTCCCCCCATGTGAGTAGAGCCATAAATTAATTGGGTCAGGTCCATAGCCGTCATGGAAGCCATGAACTCCCGAGCTACTTCAGACGTCTCGCCAACAGATGACAGGTTAAAATCCCCCATGACCATAAGCCTGGGGGTGTCAACCGCCACCGCGGCTATAACATCAAGCAGCTCAGGCAGGGCTGCTGCCACGTGGCAGGGAACCAGGTACATGACTAGCAAGCCCAACTGCACCCTATGACCCCACTTCACAAGGAGGGACTCACATCCAGCCGTCTGAGGAACAGTGGCCTCCCTCAGTCCAAGACCTTCGTTAATAACAACCGCCACCCCTCCGCCCCTCCCCTGAGACCTTGGCTGATGGAAAGCACGGAAACCTGGTGGGCACATATCAACAAGGGGGGCTGCCCCTTCCTGGCCCAACCAGGTCTCCATTATACCCGCCAGGTCCGGACCCCCCTCCTGAATAAGATCACAAATGAGGGGGGCTTTATTTACAACGGACCTGGCGTTGCATAGCATCAGCCAAAGGCCTGGGGCCCGAGGTCCCGTACAACCTGGGGAACGAGAAGAGCTTTGAGGGCCGGAGCGTGCCACCGCTTGCAACCAACGAGGACGCACTCCCGCAAGATGATGTGGCCCCCTGCTCCCGCCATATCTGCCCCTCCCACCTACAGTATCTATGTTATGGCCATCTGAATCGTAAGCTCTAATCATCTCCTTGACCCCCGAGTCCGCACCTCCCATGCCATGTCCCTCGGCTGGCCCAGATACCCTCCCCCGCAGGTCTTCCCCCGAACCCACGCAACCTACCCCCCTCCCAGAATCCCTTAAAATCTTATTAAGAAATTTCCCTAAAAAACCCCATAACCCTCTTTTTGCTGTATGCCATCTCTCCGGACTCCAAAGTCCGTCATCGAGATAGGCCTTCGATAAAGAAGAGGGCCAGACCTGCAAGAGGGGGGCATCTCGCAGTTTGAGGAGTTCTCCCAATGAGTACATTTTGTAGCTAGATAGTCTATAGCTGGTAGGCATGTCCTAGTTGACCAGGGTCCTGTGGAGAGAGTATCAATCATAGGTACAAGTCATTTTAGTCCCACTGATCTCTCACATCAGCGGTAGAAAAAAGCCATTTTGAACTCAGATGTAAACATCGATCACCCTCTCACGGCAACCAGATATAAGGGAGAAAAACAGCAGCTATAGTCCTGTTTTTTCAATGTTGTACCTAGGCACAGATGGAATAGCCAATCCTTGAGTTCAGAGACACAGATAGTCTGTGGGAAATATATAGCAGGCGAAAATCCAGGAAGATTCAGATGACATAAAAGTAGGGAAATTCTTATCCTGACATACAGGAAACAACAAAACCTGGATAGAAATGATCATACAAAGCCGAATATCCGGCCACAAAAGGGGCAACAGGAGATAAAAATACAGGAGGGGGAGATGGAATAAGGCAGTCACTTTGCAGAAGCAAAGCCCCCCATGATAGACACAACAATCCTTTCTAATCTCCTTAGCATTTTTCAGGTCTTTTATGTATAAAGGTTTAACCCCCCCCCCCATAGAAAGAGAGGGGGAGGCCTCTGGGAGGCAATCCAGGGTTGGCCCGACAATGAAAGGGTCGGCATCCCTCTGTCTCCCAGGAGTTCAGTTGAAAATAGATAAGCAGGTCCCTACTCTCCCGCTTGTGGCCTCTTTGGTCTTTAATTGGTCTTTAATTGCTCTGATTTCTGCCGGCTGTAACTGCCGTCTGTAACTGTCATTTCGGGCGCCATTTTGGGCACCGTCATCACCACCGCCATCACCATCGGCCTCCTCCGTGCCGACTCTGCCCACCGCCGGCCTCCGCAGGCAACCTCCGATCTCGTCAAGGGTCCAACAGAGTCCAGCCCAGGGTGCCAGACGGCTACCGCAGCCACACACCGTCATCCCTCCGGCAGCCTCCGATGAATGCAGGGCCGGCCGTCACGGAGCTCTTGGCCCAGCTCGCCGTCTCAAATCCCACCAGCACCGTCAGCATAAGCTGTTCCGGAGAGCGAAGCCACAAACCGCTCTCCCAAAAGGTCTTCCGGAGCCGAAAACGCTCCCATTGGATCGGCGAATCAGCCCTCTCATCACACCATGGGCCATAGGTGGGTAGTTGGCCCTAAGGACCCCCAACCGCCAGGACATTACCCCTGCAAAACCGGAGCTTCAGCTTTTGCCACTTGGAATTTTAGGTAGGCAAGAACTTTTGTTTTGTATAACATCTTTATGGTTTTTTTTTATATAACAGTTCAAGATGGCAAACTTCTCCAACACACCTTCCACCTCCTGGGAAATATGACCCAAGAATTTGCCACTTG